TTTAAGGCCAGGTTGGATGAGGCTTGTGCAGCCTAGTCTAGTGTGAGGTGTCCCTGCTCATAGCAGGAAGGTTGGACCCTGATGATCTTTAAGGCCCCTTCCAACCTTAACCATTGGATGAGTCTATGTACTTTTTGTTTCAGCATGTTATGCTTAGTGTTCAAGGTCTGAAACTTTCCATGCCACCTGAACCTCTAATGTCTTATTTTTGGCTCTCTTATGGTTAGCCCCTGCATGCTTTCTTTAATTTAGTGCAGGTGTGTGTTGATGGCTTCAAGTGAAGTTATCTTTATTGCTGCCAGGATTCAGCTGTGCTTCTAATTTGGGACAGCTATTTATTGGTTTGCTTTCCCATAATAAACTTTCAGTGAGTCTGAAAGGCTACAGAGATCTTCCACTATGCAGTGGAAGTGAATACAAGCCAGATGATGAAACAGCAGCTTCTCATTTGTCTCCTCCTTTGAGAGGAGAGGTGATAATTCACATTTTTTGTGTTTTTAGCTCAAGACATGTAAATTCAGCCAAAATGTTTTTGAAATATTTTTTACAATATTTTTGAAAGGAATAAAATCTCATATCCTGGCAAACTGGAGATGGATAAATATTGTCACAATTATGTATTTCAGATGAATAGCAAGAAAATTGAGATGCTTTCCCATTCCATCCTGCCTTTCCATGCCAAAGAACAGGTTCATACCGTCTTTGTGAAAAAAGAGTGCATATTCTTGGTGCTTTTCTAATTGTCCTTCCCAATAGCACCTTTAATATATAAATATTTTTTGTTATTTGAGTTGTGCTTCAATTGAGTATCTTTTGCCATTGTTATAATATCTTTAAGGCAGGACTGGTACTGCTTGAGGAGGAGGAGGTACAGAACAGCATCCAAGATACTTGCATCATGGTGTTATTGCTTCAGAACACTTACAGTTTTGAGGAGGGAATCAGTAGAACATGAAAAATCTAAAGTATTCCTGTACTTCTTAGGATGGTACCTTGAGACATATCTTTTAGCTAAAAAAGTTTAAACTCTGATAAAATTGAGTTTTACATCTAATGTAAGGCAGGTATTTTAAGAGAAATGATGAAAGCTTTGTTGCTTAACCTTGTATTTGTTTTTAGACAATGTATTGATTCATAACTAGAAAAGATGGCAAATGGAAGTTATTTTAAATGGTTCCTAGAAATCCTCACCTTTCACTCTTCTGCTTTATCTTTCCATCCTTCTAATTGTAATTCTGAGATTATGATATCAGACTTTTAATGGTGGATATCACTTGCTGTTAACACAGAAGCCTGACTTCATTGAGAAATAAGAAAAAAAGGTTGTGGGTATCTTTCCATATAAATAATTGAGAAAATGTGAGAGAGACTATTTTTATCATCTTTGATTTTACACTTAAGGATTTGACATCCTGGTGACAGTTTGGTCACTAGTGTCAGCTGCTGCAGACACAAGTAGTAGAAAAGAGAGAGATGAAGATGAAAGTTTGATCCTCTTTGTTAGTATGTTAATTGCACTGAGGGTTCTACTATCAGAGGATTTTTAGAACAGTTCTGACATCTGGTAAACTGGAACAGTTAGCATATAAACATTTTGGAGAAGATTATTGGTATTAACTCCTGCATTGTTTGGAGTAAAGAATTGTTGTTTAAAACATGTTTATAAATACAGTCACACATAGGTAATGTACTATTTTATGCTATCAACTTTACAGGATACAAGTAGCTGGATTTATGGCTGTATGAACAGTAATTCATCAATGTGGTGAGTATAAACAGTTTCTGATCTTTATTCAAATGGGTCTTGTCAGACTACATTTGAATTTAAAGCATATAAAATCTCTTCCTCCTTAGGAAGGAAGACATGGGGAAGAGAAGTAAAATTCTTACTGTGAATATTCATGCTTTCTGTATCACCAAGAAAACGGGAAAGATTAGGTTTTCTCAAAACACATGAATGCAGAATAAAATAGGTGAACTTTTTCTTTAAGCTATTAGTTCTACCTTTGTAGCAGTGAAAAGCTGCTCCTGTTGCTCTCTTGTGGACACTACATGCTGTGCTGGGTTCCTAAACTGTGTGTTTTGTAGCATGTCTTTAGAATCCTAAGACAGAAGATATCAAATGTCACTCAAAGGCTTCAGAAGAGTGCATTGAAGCATTTCTTCTTGTTCCAAAATTGCTATTGTCATATGAAAAATATTTAGAAATGTGGTGATTATTTGAATCAGGTCATTACAATTGTTACAAAATGGATTTAAAACACTGGTTTATCTGACATTTGCAAAGCCGGATGTCACAAGTACTTTTTCTTGATCAAAGGAGAAGCTGGGTGTTGTTCCTTTGTGTAACCTTTGATCAGCATCAAGTACAGATTAGCCTAGTTCAAGACTGCTACCTAAAACCTTATCTAATAGTCGTGGGTTTGTTGTGAACTGTGTCCTGAGGTCATGCAATGCTATTTAGAGAACCAGAAGCATCCTAGTAATTAAAAAAATTCCTTTAAATGACTGAATGTGTTGCAGTTCAGTGTGTTCAGTTAACATAAATACCATTTTAGAACTACTGCAAGCTCTGCAGCAACTAACAAAATTTTTTGGTTTACATGGTATGTTTTAGATCTTCCCATGGAAAATTGGCACCTTTGATCTTCAAAAGATGCTAATAAAACTATGTTAATTCAATATCAGTGCGATTTCAGCTTATTAAAAGTATTCATTATGTGTTGGAAGTTGCATGGCTATTAACTGCTGGATGTTGTGTGTATGACAGAGCTTTGCTTAATTTGTTTTTGCAAAAAAAAAAAGAATTGAAGTCTCTGAAATTATTGTAGCTTGATGAATTACTATGGTAGCTAACTGCGGTAGACCCAAACTGGTTCTTAATTTAAAATCATGTGACTTCATTGAGAGGCAGAAAAGCTGGTATGTTAATCCACTGTCATAACATAGTGCCTGCATAATGAATATGTTAATCCTTTAATGTGAATGAATTTTTACAGCTTGAAAGCTACTGACTTATCCTGGAGAGCTGAGTTACTGCCAACCACCAAGGTAAGTATTGTACATGGCTTGTAGGAAGGAGAGGTGGTTGGTGGGGTAGCTGCATGTCATGGGAGAAGGATCTGTTCTATTCACAGTGTTGGAACATAAGAATTGTATTCCAGAGGAAGGGGTACAAGAGGCTGACATCTGGGAAGTGGCAAGCTAAGGGGTATGTTCAGCAATAGCTTTTCTTCTTCTTTCTTTATTTTTTGGTGGTGTTTCTTTTTCTTTTAGGTTGTAATACTGAAACTTGAGGACTATCCTTCTTTGTCCCACGTGGTCATTCAGGTACCACCTGCAGCTGGCAATAAGGTAAAAAAAAAAAGAAATGCAGAAATTGCTTGCTTAGTGTGATCATAGCTTTCAGATGCTATGATGGAAATATTATGTAAATTAAATACATTCTAAGTTAAGTTACTGTGAGAAACCACATACCTTCAAACCACAGTGAAGTGTAGGTAACTTCTGTAAGCTCAAAAACGTTTTCATCCGATAAAATATCTAACGCAAAGCATGAATACTACTTGAAACATACAAAGCAATAGTTCTCAAATGAGTTCTTAAGAGTTCTTGTGGGACATTCTAATGTTGTTCTTCCTTGTTTTTCTTGGTATTCTGTTTGCGTTCCTGAACTTTTATCTATTTGGACAGTCAGTTCTCTTATCCAGGGTATTGGAGAATGATGTAGGTAACTGAAGACACCACGTGAGTTCTAGAGGGCACAGTACAGATACCTCTGCAAGCTATGAGACTACAAATAAGGTGGTAAACTGAGTTGTGCAGAGTTTCCTAGTTCTGAATCTCAAAGATGAGTTGGGTATCTTTGCATCCAGGCTTCTCAGGATCCCAGTGAGAGGAACACTGGCAGTGAATCTAAGCAGACTTTGCTTATTACCTACCTGAGTCTGGTAGGCCTTTCTAGGTAGTCCTGAAACTGAACTTGAATTTAAAGTCAAAGTAGGTCTGACATTCCTTTTTGCAGCACAGATACAGTCTCTGCATCTATGGTATAGTAATTTGTAATTCAAGAAATTATTCAGAGATGAAGTGATTGTAATGCTAATCTATGAGTGTATCTTCAGATAGTTTTGACAGAGACAACTTGCAGTTAAATTAGTAGTATACAACATTCTGGATATGCAAAGACAGAAGACCTGCTAAGTTGCAGTCCAGTGATAAATCTTGGAAGCTTATTTTAGCAAGTAAAGAGGTGCTGGATTTAAAATCGGATGGAAAATAATTTTCAAGTGAACTAAATACTTTATTAGAGATGGTGCAACTCATACCTGCTGGATATTTATTTTTTATTTTTTTTTGCAAGATTAAACTTCAGGAGAAAAACCAAAGTTTCTTTTTGCTTAGGAAACTGTATCTGGAGTTTGGATAAATCACCCTCCTTTGCAACATCCCCTCCTTGTCCCCCAAAAAACATGTACCCAAGTCATTCCCAGCTATTTGAATAGCCTTTTGAAGGCTGTTGCAAATGGGTGAGAGCCAGAGTGGCCTGGAAAGTCAACTGAAGCTTCCCAAACTTGTACTGTGTGTCAGTTCCTATCAGTGGAGTGTAGAGAGGTGGCTTTTCAGTGTTGATGTCCTGTACTCTGCCTAAGTCTCTGAGTAGAATTTGGCAAGTGCAAAGACATTGTAATCTTGTGCTTGGTTTAGATCTGTATTTAATATCCTGAATTGCAGTATACTTTGAACTGTGAATTCTTCAAAGAGGACTCGAGAACAGTACAGCTTCCTGTAACACATCTTTTTTCATTTGGTAAGTATGATGTATTATTTTTGGAAAAAACCCAGAAAACTAATATTACTAACATTTGGAAAATAAATTTTCCACTGGGAGTTAGTTTTACTGAAGTTAATACTACTGTAGATAGTAATGAGTTAAAAAAATATGGGGGTTTTGGGTAGCACATATAGAAGCATATCAGTCTTCTGGAAAAAAAAAAAAGTAGTGAGTTCTCAAGTAATTTTATCTAATATGTGAAGATAATGCATCCTTTACAGGGCTTTCTTCAAGCAAAATTTTGTTAAATTCAACTGGCTTACTTTACAAAGTACAGCTCAAGCACTTCAACCAAGTAAGAATGCTACTGAATTTTTTTAAGCCAATATATCCACTGTTTGGAGAATGTGATTTCTTTTTTCTTTTAATGTTCTAGGTATATCAAGCCTTCAAAATCTATATAGAGAGCCACTGCCAGATACTCAAAGGTAAATATAAGTCTTCTGAAGTATAAATTTATAAAACAGAGCTGATGGAAACAAAAATTGTGCCATGCAAAGAGGACTTGATGGTACTGTTGTAATCTGCTCAAATGTCTCACTTTCCAGTTTTTATGAATAGTTCTAAGACAATGTGGAATTAGTACTTATGTCTGTTTTTCTCACTTCCCAGTAAAGGGAAGTTGAAGTGAATGCAGAATTCTGCATTATGTTGAGAGTGTTTCTCATGAATAGAACATTTGGCTGTGTTTTTATTTGGTAATTATGGGACTCAAATTTGAATGCTGAGCTACATTAGCTTAAACAGAATGGGATGCTAAAGTACTTTTTTTAAATAAAACAAAAAAAAGGGGATGGATTTATTAGCTTGAGGTTACAGCTTTGTACTGAAAACCAGAAGTTTTCTCATAACTATCCTGCCTTTAAATGTTCATGTCTCACTGTTTGTTCTGTAACAGTATGAGCTAAAAAAATTGTGTTGGATGTTAACTGCACTGATCTGCATTGCAATGTAGCTGCAGCAGAGTGACCCTGCATACTGATCTGGATGCCAGCCTTCTTTTAGCTGCATTTTAGTTTTTGGAGATGGTTGTCACATCCTCCTCAATTAAGTTTATGTTTTTAAAATCCCTTCTGTTTCAGAAAGAAAACCTAGTGTTTACAGACTTCATATACCCTGGTCACATGAAGACTCAATAATTGTAGCAAAGTAAGGACTTGAACAATTATAACTTAGTTCTTGATATGTTTGAAGAATATTTACATCCTGTTGTGGTAATATTTCTGATATAAAACAGCTTTTCTGGTCTTAAGTGTTTTGTGTCTGCCTCTTTTCCTCATTTATCTTTCTGCCCTTGTTGATGAAGTTGTTTTGAATTTTTATCCAAAAAAGAATTTCTACTAATTGCTTGTTTAATAGTTCTCACTCATTTCTCAAAAAAGGAAGTAGATTTGTTGGTCTGAAATTCTCAGTATAATCTTTGAGTTCCTCAAGAGTGGGAAACAGAGGCTGCTCTGGGTGCTGGCTTCTTCTCATGACACAGAATTTGAGTAACACAACAGTCTTAAGTTGCTTCAGCAGGATAATACTAATGAAATCAGATGTATATGGTTTGAAATATGTCATTCACTAATCACAGTGAAAAACCTGACTTTATTTTAGATAATTGGAAAGCTGTCTTCCTAGTTTATTTTAAGGATCATGATGATACTTCCTTATTTTTTCCCCCCGTATTTTCTAACAGTGAACTTGAAAGAAACTGAATTGAAAACCTGTCTGTGCCATTTTTGTCAATCAGTGTATTTACATGTCTGCAAAGCAGTGTCTGCACTAGTGCTATTTTCATTAGTACTGTGCCCCTTGGTAGTTCAAAGGAGAGTGCATTGAGAAGTTGTGTAGTTCTTTGTGAAAGGATAAACAAGTCCATTGTATTATTTCACTCATATCTTGTGTTAACACTTGGTGTACTAGCTCTGCTTTACATGCACTTGATGAAGATTAAGGAATGTTTGCTTTTTTTTAATTATAAGGACACCAATTAATGATTAAGTTGCTGTTTCAGAGTTCCATCTTTTACTGAAATTTCTGCAAAACTGCATATTGCTCAGCCTCAAAACAACAACAGGACTCCAGAGTTAAATATTTACTCTTCCTCAGACTGTCAGTATGAGGTGAGTAATATAAATTTGTTCTATAACTACTTTGCATTGTTGTATTATTTTGCATAATTTAGTTTTTTAAAACATGTAGCTAAATAATAAAAATAAATACGAAGCAAATCTAAAAGTGGTCTGTTTGACCTTTTTGTAAATGTAGTGCATGTTACAAGTATTTTGCAACAGCTGGAGTAATAGTGAAAATTGGACTGTCATTCCTAAGAAAAACTTGAAAGGATTTATTTTTTAAAAGTCAGTAGTAATCTGTTGTACATTTTAGTGATGAGATTGCTGTATAGTAATATTTAAGTTGGCTTCTTAAAAATAGAAGTACTTTGTATGTATGGTTTCTGCTGTATGAAATGATAAAATACTTGTGTTTTTATCAAGGTAATTCTGAAGACATCACTTTTACAGATTCTTGGGCAAGTAAGAAAATCTTCTAATAATAGATTATTTTTATGTTAGTAGCATCTACAGAAGTTTTCTTGTTCTCCCTTCCCTACTGTGACACTTCACATTCCTTGTTGATGCCAAGAGAAACACTCTTCATGATCATTGAAAACCTTGTCTTTTTGCAAGGCATCCTGTCCATGTAAATGTCAGGGCTCAGATGTCAGAGAAGTAAAAAAGGCATCCAGGTCTAAAGAGCTGTTGTAAATACTGAGCATTTGGCTTTGTTGTTACCTGAATATCTGTAAAGGGATGACACTATAGGTCACTTTCACTTTCTTGCCTGATGAGTCAGTAGTGTTAAAACTTGAAAATACATTTGGCATCAACTAAAAGTTAGGGGTGAAAGAAGTCTAAGTGAATCCATATGCTCCTTTTCAATAAAATTTTGTTGGTTATCAATGAGGAATACCTTTTGAGACTGGTATCGGTAAAAATAGACTAGCCATCTGTAGCTTTTTTGTTCTAAAACATAATTCAAAAGGACTTGAGTGTAGTGCTAGAATATTTCTAGTGAGTATCTCTATTTGAATATATGCATTTATATCAAAGATTTTTCATTTTCATTGCAGAAGAGTTTCTATGCTCTTAGTATATTAATCAGACTTCATGACTTGGGACAGCAGAAGTCAAGTAACACATACATTATATTGCTTCTGGAAATTCTCTGCCTAAAGCCTAAGTAACTACGTGTAGGCTTTGCTTGGAAAGTGTTCTGCTCTTAATGTCTCAGTTATTTTACTGAAATGCCATTCACATGCTGCTGTGTTCTGTTCATATTTCTCTTGACTGGAAAAAAACATTTGTTTATGATATGGTCATTTATCAAAACACATTTGGTTGGCTAGTTGTGAGAAAGCAGAGTCTTTTCCAAATATAACCTTAATTGCTAATGGTGGTTATCAAGTAGTTAGGCATCAAAATAAGAAACTACTTAAACATTTAAAGAAAGATTTTCCAATCACATTATCATGCTGGGTTAATGATTTTATTTGTCTGTATTTATTTAAAAATATTTTTATATAGAGAAATTAAAAGTTTACTTTTATCCTTGTCTTTCAGATAATAAGATTCCATGCTGGCACTCTTCCAGCCTATGTTGTTTCTAACATTCTTCTTACTTATGGAGGACAATTGAGCACATTGATATCAACAGGTAGCTTTTTAGAAAAATAGGGGCTTTTTCTGTCCAAGTGTTTTTAAAATAAATTACTTGTCAAGTGTACTGGTGAAAGACTAGCTAGTTGTGAATTTTTTAAGCTAAGTATTGCTGAACTTGTGCAAGAACTTGAGCCTGTTCTTTAGTTTCAGTTTTTCTTCATTGGTAGTTCTCCAAGCTTATGACATAGCAAAATATTCACTAACTATTTTATGCTATTGCACAATATTTTAGAATCAACATAAATTTACTTAAAAATACATGTAAAAGTTCAAAATATATTGTTAATATGCCAGAACACTTTCTTGCATGGAGATTTGCAGGCTGACTTCTAGATGTGTCTTCAGACAAAATGCATTTTTCTTTTAATTCAGGTGGTGTTTGTAACAAATTCTGTGATCTGTCTAGAAACTCTTGTGTCATCTTACCTTAGTATGACTGATCCTGCTAATAAGGACCTTGATGAAGTATGCTGACTTACACTACTGTTAAAAGACATAGTTATCTTGTTTTTAAGTAAACTTTCAAACCTTTGTCTAAATGTACTTTTTATTGTGAAACTTCTTTGTTAGAGTTCACAATGAAGTAATAACTATAGATTATTTCTGTTCTGAATTCTAGGCCAGTGTTCAGAATTTTCCCTTGAGCTAGTGAGGACAGCTAAACCATACAAAGTAGAACCTCTTATAAGCATTGTTGTGTTTCTGCAGGGGTGAGTTTGCACAACTGATTTATTTATCTACAACAGTTTCCAAAATAGAAGTTTCAGAACTGTTGTTGGGGAGGGATATTATTTTATCTGTAATCACTGTGAACACCTGACTGATTCTGTTTGAAAGGCTGTAGTGGGAGGAATAGCTGGTATGTATCTTGTGGTAATGACAATCAGAAGGGATAAGTAATTCTGCTTTCATGTTTCTGGCAGGTGTCACTGGTTCAGAGTGATCTGGGAATCACTGTCACTACCAGAGGTGGATGCTGCTGTGCTGAGTAGTCAGGATGCATGGTTCCCTCTTGTGTCCCTGATTCTATTTCTTTTTGGGACAGGCATTGCCTACTGGAGTGGAGTGTTTTTCTCTGCATCTCTGAAACTGTTAGCTTCTTTGTGGTTACGTCTGATTAGGTAAATCAACATCACACTCTATAATTATCCTTTTTTTCAGTGACTGTGACTCTGTCAACTTTTTCTGTTTGCTTCAACATGAATGCTTGGGCAGACTGAATTATTTTGTAGAGGTCATAGATTATTTTAGCCATCTGGGTTTGTCGGTGTTGTTAATGAAGTACGGGGATTGCCTTATTTCTTATTCCACATCTCCAAAAGGGAACATAAATGGCTTTCTTGTTTCCTTCACCAGCTGCTGTAAAGGTTTTTGATTTGTTTTTGAGGAAAGCTTACTGGGGAAAAAATTGAACTTTTTCAGCTGCTTTTCACTATCTCAAAAAAAGAAATGAAGATTTTTATAAAAGGGACTAAAAGCATTCAATCCATTCCTCATTAATGCAGTTTATCCAGTATGACAAAGAATGCCAACAGGTTTCTAAAACAAAAACTCCTTGGATGTCAATTTCAGGCTTAGACTTATGAATTTAATAGATCATGTCTAAGAATATGGTATGGTTTTGCTTGTAGTAATGATCCAAATATGAAAGTGAGTTTAAAAACAGCAAGGAAAATAAAGGTATTTTGGAAGACTAAATTAGTAAATTGGATAGCATCCTTAGCTATTTTAATAGTTTGACTGTTCTGACACTTGTAACAGTCCTCAACTAGACTTGAACCAATTCTCTGTGTTCCAGAAAGTTGTTTGGGATGCTCTTAACTCAGAAAATAGCTAATAAATGGACTTGTTTTTCCTCCTTAGCACTTATTCTGCCAAATAATTAATGTGGTGTCAGCTATTTCTTCTCTGCCGTCTTGCTTAGAAATTACAGTGGATGCTTCAGTATTAGTTTTAAGTGACAAGGTGATGAGGTTTGAAACTATTCTTACTAAATTTTTAAGGATTTTAGCTCAATTCATACTCTTTTCATCAAAGCTTTTGATTTCCTGCAAACCTTTAGAATGTCTTGGGCAGATCTGCTCCTACCATTTCTTATTAAAAAAACCCGGCATTCATTTTCTATAAATCTCTCTAAAGTAGATAGTAATCACTTGAGTTTTGCTCAGTGTTCTGCAATTATCTGATATGGCCATCACAGCAAAGAATTTGTCACTAGCTGTCAGTGGAATTCTTTGTTTTTGTCAACTAGCCTTCTTTTTGCCATTGTTTTCAGGACTTGTAGCAAAGGCTTTTAAAACAATATTTTTTGCTTTCCCCCCCCTTCCTGTTTTCAGTGTTTATTTTAAGATGGAATATCTTGTGAATATCCAAGAAGTACAGTACAGAAGTTCTATTTCACTTCCTCCTTATGACATTACCCTTGTAGGTGCGTTTGATAAGAAAGATGGCTTGTGTTTTGGTGGTGGTGGGTTTTTTTGTTTGTTTGTTTTTTGTTTTGTTTTTTTTTCAATGTAGCAGGTGGTATATATGTTAAAATCTGTCTAACTTTACTTTTCTAGTGTTCAACCAATACTCAGGAACAATTTATTCTTTTCAGTCATTCACAAAACAGAATAGTTCTTTGATCTTTGAAGTTTTGATGTTGTGCAAGAGTATAACAGTAGTTATGTTTTTGTTGTTTTTTGTGGGGTTTTTTTGTTGTTTTTTTTTAGACCGAATGTACTTCTAAAAGAAAACAAGTTGATTACACCCAGAAGACTCTGCGAGGTATTATCCCTTGCTTTGGTTAGCTGGACAACTTGTGGTGCATTTGCTCTACTCATTATTTATCTTCAATACTTGTTTAAGGTACTGAAAAGCTGAACATTTTGCATTCATAACAGAATTTCATATGCTTTGAATTAACCCCATGTTAAAAGGAGAAGTACAGATTACCATTTTTCATACTTAAGAGAAATGTTTTTATTAGCATACTTGAAATAGGTCTTTTTAAACTTATCAGATGCTTACAATCTCGTAATCTTTAAAATTATTGTGTTCTTTTGAGGATGCTTTTTCCAAAGAATGTGAATACACTGCAATATTGCATATAACTGTGACTTGCTACTTGTGGGTAGGTAATGTTATAAAATCAGAAACTAGTAACTCCCTTGAAGAGAAGCTTTAGCAAAGGCAGGACTTGTAATGTTCTGTCAAATATTTTTAATCTTTAAAGACTTTTCACAAATATCTTTCTTCCTTTTATTCTGTATGGCAGAATTAGGATAGTCTTACTGTAGACATACATCTGATCCCTTGACTACTGCCACAAAGTTCCATATTTAGTCCTTGGCACTTGGTTTCTATGGTCTTCCTTGCATCAGAGCATCTAACTTAACTGATTCACCCTATGCATTTGTAGCTGCTAAATCAGCTACTATACTTAGCTGCTAGGGGGGGAGCACTGGAGCATGCATCTGGGAGCTTACAGATGGTCTGAGGTAGGTAGGTGGCAGCTGAAAGCACAGCCTGAGAAACAGGTCTATCTCTGATTGTACTTCCTGTGAGGTAAGGTTATCTGTCCTGTCAAGGATGTTCCTATGCTGACATTACTCCCCCTTCTGCAGTAAATCTCTGACATGGGACTTTTCCTGTGTGGCCTGTTTCTGGATTTCTGCAGAAAGTGAAGTAGAACTGAATTAGGAGGAGGTAAGGAGTATGTGGATTTCCCAGTCTGTATCCTCTGTCAAGCACAGTGGAAGGGGAGGAAGCAGAGCAGCATGAATTTTCTCGCTGTGCTTGTAAATCCTTTCTTAAGGAAGCACTTTGGGTGTTGCTGATAAAAAAAGGCAGAGGGAGTTCTTGCTTTGCAGCTCCATTGGGGCCCTAGCATCATCTAGTTATAAAAAGGGTCAAAACTAATTAGCCCGACTATTTTTTTTTTTTTTTCTTGTACACTAGAGGTTTTTTGTGAAGAAAGGTTGCTGAAAAAGCTTGTCTGTCTGTCTTACAGGTTATAAAACTACATGTGGATGTAAGGGCAGAACAAAACATGCTTAATGGGGTAAGTCTGTTTCCCGCTTCTACTCAAAGTTGTGACCACAAATTATTTGGCAAACCTGTCCAGTGTGAGTTGTTATCATCTTGCTAGTGTTGGGTTGTGCTGCAAGGACGGGATGGCTGTAGTTTACCATGTGCATCGCGTGAGAGAAAAGCCGGGACATGAGTAGCCTCCTCTGCCACATGTGATTGTTGCCTTCACTGCTCAAGATCTCTGTGGTGTCCAAAGTTCATTTAAGAAAACTTAGTCTCTGAATACATACAGAATAATATTTTTTTTGTCTAAATTTGGGTATTTGTGCATGCCTTACCTAAAAATATAAAATTAATTTCTAGATAATAATCTAAGCTACAGGTAAATATTTTTGGGAACAAAGTAGCATGGGGGCAAGCTTGTTACAAAGAGAATGGTGAAACACTGAAACAGGTTCCCCAGAGAGGTGGTAGATACCCCCATGCTTGGAAACATCCAAGGGCAGGTTGGATAGGGCTCTGAACAACCTTGCTAGTTGAAGATGTCCCTGCTTCTTGGACAGGGATTGGAGTAGATGACCTTTAAGGGTCCCTTCCAACCCAAAATATTCTATGAGTCCATGATTTTTTTTCCAGATAGGCAGTTCAGGGTTTTTTTTAAGCCAGGATATGACAAATATGATTTATTAGATGGATGTGGACTGAGACTGCAATAAATTGCTAACTGTTTAAAAGGAGTGAAGCAGCCCTGGGTTTGATGCATCATGAACTTTGTTTTTTTCAGTTCCTTTAAGGTATAGGATATAAGATATAAGCATGTATGGATACAAATAGGTAATAACTACCTGTTCTTTTCTGCAAACAGACTTAAAAAAACACTCTGCCAGAAAAAGTTGTTGCCAGTTTTCTTTGGGTTTCTTTGAGTGTTTTTATATATTTTGTTTTTATATACTTAGTTTTAATACCTCCTTTTTTCATCTCCTATTTTTTTTTGTGTTGTTTAATTTTTGGAGGGCTTTTTCTGTCATTGGAAGTTAGCATCTGTCAACTCATTAGTTTATTTTTGTTTTTTCTCCTACAGCTTATGTTTTAGTCCTAGTTGCATTACTTCCTTTATCTATTTTCATGAATGATCACCTGTGATTTTCACCTGTGTGCTTTTATTACTCCTTTTATTCTGTTCTTCCTGCTTCCAGGAACTCAATTTCTTATCACTGCACTGGTGTCAGAGTATCTCCACTCTCCATTCATTCCTTCCAAAGACATATAAACTATTAGTGTAAGAGAAACTTCTGGTTAAATCTGGGTGCCTTAAAATTGAACTATAACTTTGCTTTTGATGGCTTTTTGAGAGAAAAATAGCAGATTTTCCTCTTCAATCAGAGCTGGTTTGTTACTGTTATGTTTTTCCCTCCTCCTTTCCCGACATGGGTTCTTACAAGCCTGTGGGTGGTCTTATGACTTTTGCCTTTTATTTTCAGGATTCAGACAGCTCAAAAGAAACTTCACAGAGCTCTACTATACATGCAGTCAAAAAGCAGAGTTCAATGGACAGTACCTCAGAAGCAATGCCATCTCTTTCCAAGAGTACAACAATTTCTGAAGCCATTAACAGTCTTAAGATGCATGTTACAGTTCTCAATTTATTCACATGGATTGTGCTGCTCAGCTTCCCATCTTTAATTTATTGGTTAAAAAATCTCAGGTAACGACTTAAATTGCCAGTAAGGTGGAAGAAAATAATATGAACTTCTGAAGATAGCACAAATGGCAAATGTTTGATTCTTCATATTGTTTGCTACCTTATAGTGTTAAAGACTTGTGGTGATTGTTTTTTCTATGCAATCTGCTTTATGTTATGGTGTAAGCAGTTGTTAAATTAATCAGTGATATGCTGAGGGAAGTAATGATTCAGAAAGGATTTAAAATCAGGCTGTTATGCCATGTACATTTTTTGTGTGTTGTCATTAGCACATGCTTGTTCAGAGCTTGGATTTTATTTGGTAGCTACTGTAGACGTAACAGGCATTTTTAACCATTTTTTGCAGGTACAATGTTAGACTTGATCCTGATCCATGTAGATCTACAGCTGTTATCCTTGTATGCATTTTAGAAATTCTCATGAATTCAAGTACTTCTGAAGTGAAATCAAGGTACTGGAGCCTAATCCCCAGTTTTTGCTTTCCTCCTTCTCTTTTGCTACTTCCACGTGTGTGGTAAAACTTAACTTTATGCTGCACAGACATGTAATTCTTTGATCTACATAGAGATTCATAAACTCATATGGTTAGATTGTAAAGACTGAGGAAAATGCACACAAATTACATTTAATTCACTCAAGTGGAGAAAATCACTGGCATTTACCACATGGAATTAAATAAAGTATTTGTTGTGTGAATAGCTGCATAACTACCTCTTTAGCTGTGACTTTCTCATTCACTCCTCATGGAATCCTTCCAAATGTTACAAAGCGTAATAGATGTAGTAATTGTTGTCAGAAAGTTACAAGGAAATGTGAATTCTAAACGATTATAGTTATGTTCTTGCATCCTCCCATATGAATACACTTGTGGAAATATAACTTGCTTTCTCCCTGATGAACAAGTTTTGAGTGCTTGGTTTTGCTGAGAAGTAGAACATTTCTTGGTCAGGTATAAAATTAGTCAGTGCTTCCTGAAAGACAGTGAATAACAACCAATGTAGTTTATTGTCCTGACTGGTATCTGTTAACTCAAATGACCTAAAACATTAAATCTTTCTTTGTCATAGAGAACTTATTTCTAAACTAATATAAGAATATTTAAAAGTTATATTTTAGTAGCCTTTTTGAATGACTGCTTTTGCTTATGCATCAATTGTTATTGCCCAATACACCTATTTGTTCTGTTTTAAAAATTAAACAATCCTTGAAATATGTAAATTATTTATCAAAAGAAAATGAAATCTGGTATTTGCTTACCTTCTGCATGTATGGCTATAAAAATGTCTTTTTTTTCTTTATATCCTTACAGTAAACTCTTGAAGATCACAGCCAAAGTTCCACTCCCTTTGTCAGTTGCAATGTTGGCTTTTGGACGATTGCATTTATACAAAGTACCACACTTTGTAACCTTTTCTCTTCTTCTACATGTGCTATGTTGTATTGTGTGATGTTCCTTAAACGTAGCAAGAACTGTGCAGCCTAGAAATGTAATGCTGGAGATGGGGCAAATTTCAAGAAAGACATGCCTAGATGAATGTCATCAGTAGTTTACATTTTGTAGGAAAAAGGTCAGAACTGTGAATACTTTATTAAATGTTCACTGTTCTGTTAATGTTGCTTTTCGAAGACTTTCAAAGTATTTATTTCCAGACTGTGAAAATTAAGTGAATTAACTGTGTGTGTAAGGACATGAATCATATTAGTGTAACCTCTCAATACTCTGTTTGCCTTGTAGACACTTTGGTATTTCACTGTACTTCTTTGGTGAAACAGACTTTTCTTACTTGCTATGCCATTCAGTGTGTGTGTTCTGAACTTGCATCTTCTGCAGGTCTGAATTATGCTGGTTAAAACTCAGTACATTTCAAGCACACTGTGACTATCACAAAAACTACACAGCCAAGTATACTTTTAATCATTTTATGCCACACTTAAAAGCTGCCACAGTTATGTCTAGAAAAACTAGAATGTTTAGAATAGATTATTTCTATCAAATAATTTGTTCAATCCATGTGAGTTGAGCATCTGTGAGATTATTGAAAGTCTGACACATTTTACTTTTTGTGAGAGTGAGAAAACAACAATATTCTGTGTAGCTTTCTATTCAGGAAGGATACCAGCAGATTCATAAACAATTTGCTATAATGTTGTTTTAAAACATTGCCAATTTTCTCTAGAATTTTGTCAGTTCTGAAATTACTCTCTGGACCTTGTCCATATGTAGAAGCTAGCAAATGTTGAGGTATGTTTTAGTTTAAAGTGCAGTTGCTGTACCACACTGTTTTCAAGTAGACAGGACAGGTTTTTTTCCTATTGTAATTGAAGAATCAAGTGTCTCATAAAACATGACCATGCAAGAAATTAATATGAAATAGTTACAGCATGGTTAATTCATGCCCTGTCATGCAGTGCTAACTTCCTCATGTGGACAAGCTCTTAGTAATAGTGGGAAATACTGACCATAATTGTTAGCTCTGTATAAAGTATTATCTTAGTGCCTAGATGCTACAGAGACTGCCATTTATAACAAAGCCTAAAATAGCTATGCGTAAGGTATTCTGTCCCCTGGGTATGTGTTTTGCCAACACAGGAAATCTCAGTAGCCATTAGGTTAAAATGATGTATTGATTCTGTGTAGAGATGAGCATACTACTGCTTCTGTTAGCTGTCTCCACTCAGTCCCAGATACCTGTTATCTTCATGTGGAAATACTAGACCAGTTCAGTCATCTTATATGAACAATAAGAGGAAATCTGCTACCCTCAGTCAATCAAGTATATTCTTGATATAGTAGTGCAGCCAACCTGACCCACTAATTTTATTGAATCTCATTAATCTTGCCTAAAGTGCCTCAGTTAGTTCTAGTGTGTCATTTGGATCAATTAATTTGAGCTGGCTGGAAAAATGTAATTCCACAGTGACTTTTCCAAAATGAAGGACATGTGAAGTAACCATGTGTTTTGTGCACTTATGTCCAAGTCAGCAGTTCAACTTACCAGTAAGTCATTAAAACTGCTTTAAGTGATTAAGACTATTGTAGTTAACCAAACCACTGTCACTGTAATAAGTAATCTATGTGCAGGTATTCTAGTCTTAAAGGTTAAATTATACTTAGTGTTAGTAAATCAGATATGTTATTTGAATAGATTATATCTTGATACTTTCTAATAAAAGGTATGCTACAGTATATGTTTATAAGAGAATTTGTGTGTCTAAATATACTTGTAGCTGAATCCACCAGCTGGATTAACCTAAAAATGGCTATTCAGACATAGAATAGAGAGGTTTTTCTACTTTCAAATAGCTGTGAATGAAAGATGGTGGCAGAACTGCACTGGGGATGGTAAAAGGCCATCTGTGGAATACGCAAGATCTGATTTCTGTGGAAGATAATTTTCCTTCACAGTCTTTTTTTGGTTTACTACTGTACTTGTGATTTTGTTGTTTGTTGTTTGTGTTTTGTTGTGATTTTTGTTGTTTTGATGTCTTAATGGGCTCTTTAGACATGAATCCCTTGTCGGAGCTGTTGGTGGAGTAAAATAATCATCAGAGTAGCGAGAGCAGTTTCTGCACGTGGTAGCTTTGATAACTTCCAAAATGTGCCACTCCATGAAATTTAGTGAATTACAGCACCATTATTTTAAATGAGTGATATTTTTAGAGCTGGGAATTCTACTGATAGTTATATCACTCTTCATGAAATGGGTTACAGAATCTTGCATAGATACTTACCTGATTTTCAGGTTGGAGGTAGGAATAATTCTGAATTGAAGATCCCAGAATTTATTACATCTGCCTTTTTCAGAGATGGTTTACCTTCACTGGGGGAAGGAGGGAGTGTCTTATACTTTGGATTTATACTTTGGATTTATATGCATTCTGTGTCATGTACTAGATGAAAACTGCTCTCAGAGATGTGCATGTGGACCCTGAAACTTCAGCTGTTTGGGAGAATAGATGTGTAATCCCTACTAGATTTTCTATAAAATCAGCAGAGGGGGATAGAATTAGAGTAAGTCCACAAAGCAGTTTATCCCATTCTAAGAGAGGATGAATTACCCTACTTGCCATTCAAAAAAATTCAAGATTTTATAACAGTCTAACCTTTTTTCAGGTAAGATACAATGATTGTTTGTTGTTAATGTTAGAGAAGAGGCTTCTGATATTTGAATCTCTAGTTCTGCCACTGTTGACAATTATTATCTCAGCAGAAACATAAGCTAACCCAAAAAAATACTTCTCATTGCTTGGATGAGTAAGTGTAAATATTACTGAAGTACCCTTCAGTATGAGTAGGCTGAATTTATAAAACAACTTTTGGAAAATGCATTGTAATGTCTCTTAGTACCTTTAACTGAACTAAATTCCGGTTTATTCTTCAAATTTTAGATTATCTACTTTGTGTGGGAGAAGAGCAAGACATAAATTACCTTGTAATCGACCAGACCTCTGCTCTATAATGGCAGATTTCTATTAACATGCAGAGACAAATTCCGCTACCTCATTTTTCAGAAGGTGAGGTATTAATTTTGCAAAACCACTGTTCTTCATCCATGTGAATGTTCACTGCATTTAGATGGAGATTATGCCACATAATCAAGCATTTAGGTTGAGATTAAGCCACTATTTTTTGGCTTGTGCCTTAGGATGCATTCAAAATAAGAACTATTTGTGTGGCATTTTCCTAATATCTTTTATAAGCTATCAGAAATTGAATAATCAATCAGAGTAAGAACCTAGAGTACCAAATGTCACTAATTTTAGGTACAGCATAAATGTACAGCAGAATCTTCCTTTGGCAGAGAGAGAAGCCTTTAGTGGCTTCTCTGCATCCTGAGTTGCTCTTGAAGTCTATAATATTTTCTGACTGGTATGACCAAACTTGTGTTCCTCAGTCTTATCAAGCCACAATCATAGTAGCTACACCTATAGCTAAGAGTTCATATAAGGAAAGGTGAGGAAAAACTGTTACCTCTAGCTGCAATTATGTAATATATCTTGAAACTGAATGAGTGAACATTGTCCAAAGGTAGTAATTTCATTTTTGATGTAAAAGTTGGTTGTGGTATGCCACATTTCAGCATCCTGTTGAAAGGGGGATTGGATTTTTGGGTTTTGATTAGGAGTTTTGGGGTTTTTAAAAAAAAAAATTAGTAAATGGAATTTAAATTATTCTTTCTCATAATTAGAATTTTGCTCTGATTTTGTTTTTGAGTGAGCTGATACCTGGAGCAATTATTTTAAAAATATTAGTTTGCTAAATTTAAAAAAAAGTCACAACCCTAAACTGTGTAGTAGTGATATCTTGCAGAAGACATAAGAGAGTGCCTTTATGTCTAAGTGAACTTCTCTATAACCTAAGTGGGCTACTTTAAAAGTCATTCTTTAAAAAAATCATAGAATGGTTTGAGTTGGAAGGGACCTGTAAAATGTATTGATACTTAAAAACCCCAAAAGGTATAATTGCATATATTGGTATTTGATGCAAAGTCTGCTTTTCCATGTGTTTTTCATTAACAAGGTCACAGACTTGCTACTTGACTTTGTTCTGAAATCTGATATATGTGCTTCTAAAATATGACGGGGCAGAATAAATTCAATTATGTGCCTGTGAAAAAATGTAAACATTTGAAAAGCTTTCACTTGATTGTTTTTATTTTAATAGAGTGATGAGTGTGTTTAGACTTTTGTCTTATTTATGCTGAGAAAAAAGCAGCTATTTACAGACATTCAATACTCTTGAGTTACTGAAAACGTTTCTGGAAGCAGTTATAGTGTCTGTACGTTAATTGTTCTGCTGTTTTAAGTCATAGAATCACAGAATGGTTTGGGTTGGAAGGGACCTTAAAGATCAAAGTCACAAAAGCTACTAGAAAATTCTTAGCTGTAAAACAGACTGAAATCTTTTGCATTTCATGGTGAATGTTAGTCACTTAATTTACAGCTTTGACTTTTTACATCTCTCTATTCTGGGAGATAATCAAGCCAGCTTTTATAAGCAGTTAGCACTGCAGTGTAAACAGTTTTAAGTCTTTTATCACCATTCCTTTAGGGGAGACATACTTTTGTCACCAAAGCTACATGCTGCTCTTATATACCTCTGGAAATATGTGCCAGTGAATGACAATTAAAACAGATAAAATTTATGTTAAAGTAAGATAGTTTTTCTACCTTTTTTAGAGCTAGAATTTTAAGCTAGTGTTCATAATAGAATCCTTAAAATCTCAAAGTTTATTTGAAAATCTTTTACAAATATAGTATTTTCTGATCTATAGTTTTATTTATGGAAGAATGTATTCAAAGCTTTTAATCAGCTCATTTATCTTAAAGCTTAAATAAAATTTATGAATTTTATCTTGTTAGTAAACATTGCAGCTTATAAAATTTTTATTTAAGGAGAAAATTCTGTAGATCTTACTTAAGCAAATCTGCCCAGCACCTCAATTTTTCAAGTATCTAATTAACTAACTGCCTCAAATATATGCTTATTGCCTTGTAGCATGAAAACCTGTGTCAAAACTGTGATGTTTTGACTCCAATTTTGCTTGAGATTTGAGGTCTCACTCTGCATTCTTAAGTGCAGACAGATTTTTCTACTCATGCTGTCATAAACAAATGTGGTAAGCATGGCCTCTCTCATTGGCAGGTCGCAGTCTAGATTCTGTGGGAATCTGTGTAGTATCAGAGCTACTTTTGTGTCTATAAAGGTCAGGAGTAGCACACACAAACTTGTTATTTTGTGGCACATCATTCCAGTTCCTCCATCCATATGCAGTTATCCTTGGTTTGCAGTATCCTTCCAATGTAGTACAAAACATCATGGTCCTAGAAGGCACTGTGACTGACCTACTGAAGACACTCAGCAGCTGTCCTCTAGACTTCTGTTCTCTTGACATTTTGCATGTTTGTTGAAATACCAGCAAATACTTTTTTTTCCCCTCCAACTTAAATAATTTCAGGGTATATATATGCTAAATATCAAATGTGCAAGTATGTTGAGGTTTAGTTTTATAACATGGTAAGTGCATTATTTTGGGATCAGTTCAGGCTTTGGTATTTTCCACTTGTATCACTTTGAGAGTGAAAACACTATTTGAGACTGCAGCACCTAACAAGTGAAATATTTTACAGAAGTCTACAAGCTGTAGTCGTGACACAAGTAAATAGAGTGCCAGACCAAAACTGAAATGTGAAGTTCCTCACTGTGACTTTAAACTTGTAGCTTTCTAGAGCAAAAAAAAACACTGTGCCTTAAACCAGTAAATTAATACATTCTAACTATAGCCTGTGGACTTCTGTAGCCTTGGAATTGATTTTTGAAGTTGACTAAAAATATTTGTGTGGATCATACTGATACTTGATTTGGAGAAAATACTTTAATAAATAAATAAATACATATTGTCCCCTTTTTACTACACTTACAGAAATGAGGTTTTATGATAAGTACAGCATATTTATGGTTTGGAATCACACCAACCAAAGTCAGAAAGCTTTAGCTGACCTTAATTTCTCAAGTCTTTTTACTGTGAGAAAAAGAAAAATAAGGAACAAAAATTGGTCTCAGCTTAGAAGTCTGTGTATCAAATTGTTTGTTTTTTTTTTTATTCAACTTCTTCAAAATAAAAAAATCATGTAATTGCAGTTTAAGCAAAATGTTGTATGTAAGCCATTGTTTATCAGTATCTATGCCACTGTGTGAAGAGGAAAACTGGAAGGTAGTTTCTGGGGGCAGGTGGAGTGGGGTCGATTGTTTTTTTTAAAGCTCCAGAAGTTGGAATAACAAATTTAACTTCTTAGGGAAAATATTCATATATAAACCCCTGAAAAGTTGGGGAAAGGGGAGATCTTATATATTTTGTTCTTCTCAATCTGTTAAAGAAAACCAGAAATAATCAAGATCTGAAAATCTTTTTTTGCTATAGTAAAAGGTTTCCTTACATATATTTCTAATATGAAGAGCATGGGAAAAGGCACCACTGGCTTTCCTTGTGTCTCTGTAGGATTCTTTGTATGTTTGGAACACAATCCCCTGAATTCTGACTTCCCAGTATTAGTACTACATAACACTGGATCTCAAAGCTTATAATTGGACTGTGGATATTTAGTTATGCACACAAAATGACTTCATTTCAGCTGATCACAGTAACTGTTTGAAGTAAGAGAAATAAAAATAATTTACCTTCTTTTTTTGAGAACTAACTTGTACCTGGATGCCACAATGCTGCTGATGCTGTGGCACAACAGATAACATGCAGTTTTTATATATTTCCTGCTACTTCCTCTGTTATTTTAGGATTTTTACAACCCTCATCCCAGTCACCTAACTTTTTTTTCTTTCTTTTGTGATGATGCTATTTTAGCAATCCTAGCCATTGTTGATTTCCTAGCTATTTAAAATAATTGAGAGGGCAGAACTACCTTTAAAGACTTGATATATGATAGTCTTGAAAAATTTTGTAGGCTACTAATTTATTATTTACTACCTTTTAATTGTTTTTCCAAGCACAAAGACAGAATCATGTTGGCCAAGTTACCTATTTTGGGCAATTGAGGGGATGCTGTTTTTGTTAAGAGGACTTGAAACTTTGAAGAACATGTCATATTTGGAAAAGGCTATTGCTTCCCAAGCAACCTGTCCTACATGTTGTTAACTGTTCCTCTGTTTTGAGTTCGTATATAATTAGCCTGGTGGTTTAGGTAGAGCTAACTCTTCAGTTACCAGTTTCTAGAGATGTTGATGGAGTCTTATCTATAAATGTTTGAATAATGCTATAAGAAATTATCATGTTTATTAAAATGATTGAATTATTGGGTATGCGATATGTGATAAGCTTAGGGGAAGTCCTTGTCTTAGGAGATGCTGAGTAAACTTGGGAAAATAGGTATCTTCAGCTAATGTTGAAATTGCTGAAAGCAGAAATCTCAGAATCTTTAAAAACTGTACTTTAGACATTGGTAATTTTTTTGTTGAGGGCAATTTGAATGGAAGCTACAGAGGGATGGTTGGGTTTTCTTTGATAGTTTCCCTGTCTGCAGTGTATACTTGACTTTTTAGTCTTTTTTTTTAACCTGGGTGTGCATGACTAAGAGTACATTGTATAGCATATGCTCTGCTAAGTGAACACCTCTGTATTTTTTGTATGGCGTTCTAACATGGTTGCATTAGTACAAATGCTTGTAATTCACAAAAAGTGCCACTTACCAGTCATACTCAGAGTGTTGTGAATGTTACCTGTACTTCTGTTGTACAAACATGCTAATTAGAGTTGTGATGAACTTTTGCCTTTAGTCTTTGCTCAGGTACTCATGTGGAGCAGTTTGGTGCTTTTCCTTCTAATGTAATAAAAAGGATGGAAGAAACTTCTTGTTCTTCTGGTTTCTTTTTTTTCCCTCTAGAGGAACATATCCTTACTTCTGGTTGATTTAGAAGGTAACTTCTACACAAAATGAAACTGGAAATACATAACTACCTAGAAAAATTAAGACAGTTCTCATACTTTGGGACCTGCCTTTTTACAAGTTGGTCTGTTGCTACTGTTGTTCTGGTCTATCTGTGTGTCTATCTGGAAGATGTCTATTATTAAAAGTAATTGATGGGTTTTGAAAGATTTATTAGTTGACTATTTATTAATTCCAAGTCTGTAGAATAATATAGAAGCTGGGTAAGTTGAATTTTATTTGTATTTGTTAACTGCAGTCATGAAAATGCCACTGCTAGGATTTTGTTAACTGCATTACTATTGGCATTTGGATGTCTGCAGCTTAGTCTACCTGGAAGGGTGGTGTTAGGTTTTTGTTTTGCTTTCAAAATTTAAACCCCAGAAAGATGTAAAGCCTCTAGCCAGAAACAAACAGCTGTAATCTGGAGTAAGATAAAGGCTTTTGGCCATTAATTTGAACGTGTCTATTAGAGATATATTTGATGTGCTACTAACTGGAGTATCATCTAAATAGAGTGAAGGATATTGTGAAATTATAAGCAAAAAATTCAAGCAGCTTTGTGACGAAGGATGCTATGAAATCAGGCCAAGGCAAATTAGCATAGTCCTCCTTACAGTCTTTGTCTTAGTTTCTAGTCTGACAGAAGGATATTGACTGCTGATAAAATCAGGGTAGGAAAGCAACACTTTCATTAAAGTTAATTGATTGGGATCTTCAAACAGACCTTACTTTCCTCGCTCTCCAGTATCAAGAAAATGATCCCTATCTCATGTTGCCTGAAAACCATTCAACCACCTGTAATTATCTTTCAGTCACCATTCTAAAGATATGGCTAATTACTTTTAATTAAAAGTAATATTTTGGTACAGCTCTGCTATCTCTACTGGGAATTGTTTTAAACTTTATAATATGCCTACCACCAGTTTTCTGCAGTACAGCTTAGGGAGGAGGAATTTGCACCGCACTGTTTGATAGCAACAAGTCTTATAAGTATTAAGGATGAAATTCTCAAGGGTCTTTATGTCATGGATGGAAATGGAATCATTACAGTATTTTTGAACTCCTGCTAACGTCACTGAGAGCCACCTACAGTCCACTAGACATATAAATGCAGAGATCAGTTTGTTCACAGATTACAAGGAGACTAACAAAGGGGCAAGCCAGAGCCAAATTCACTGGTAAGCTTTATTTTAAAGAATGTGAAAGGGACAATTATTTCCTCCTTTTTTTTTTTTTTCCTTGAATCAAATTGTGAAATGGGTCTCTAGTATATTATAGCAGGCTGTATTATTCTTGCACTTATTATATGTAAATACACTTCTGTGTCATGCAGTTTTTAAAATTGAGCTACTTGGATCTCAACCCATATTTTTGTATTGTTGGGGCATAGAAAGACCTGATGCTGTAACTGATCAGCCAATGAAAATGGCTGTTTGTAATAAGAAATGTACATTTAAAATGTAAATATTTTGTCTTAAATGTCATACTGCTCTCTTTTGAAAAGAGAATCCAGCGTCTAGCAATAGCTTTGATATGGGAAACACTTCTTCTGAATAAATTGTTCTTCCTAATACATAAGTATAAAACCAAAAACAGTCAGTAGCACACAGGTATAATCTGCAGTAGGCAGGTTTTCCTTGCCATGGATTGTCATGCATGCTCTTGTTTTTTACCAATGATAGGTATGTAGGACTTAGGGAGTCTGTTCCTTGTCCCTCTTCCAGGTAGTCTATTCATTGCTTCAACATGTGGAAAGTGGTGCTGCTGGGTCTATACACAGTATTGGCTGTGAGGGGATTGGCAAAGGCTGCTCCTTTCCAACCAGAAGAAAAATGGAAGCCGCTAGATAACCCGAGAAACAGAGACCTGGTAAGGAAATACTGCAAAAGAGAGAGCCTAAGCTAGTGTGGGGTTTGTGTTTTCCATCATGAGAATTTGTATCTTCTAATTGTAAAGGTAAGAGGGGCCCATTAAATGTAGTAACTGTGCACTTTGTATAATCAATAACCACAACTGGATGAGAATTCCGCGGTCAAGATGTACTCCTTAACTGAAGGAGTTCTTGATGTGCTGTAGGGCATAAAACTTCCTTATATATCCATCCAGCAGCTTTAGTTTTTTAAAATTGATTTTGATCATACAACCACTCTTATTATGAAACAGAAGCATGATAATTGTGTCTCTCTTAAGTGCATACTCTGTTGATTGCATGTCCTTTCATTTTCTGGAAGTACAAGTAAGTTTGTATCTGACACATTGTCATGAATAGTGGCTAAAAATCTGAATGCTAATTACAGCTAAGAAAATAATTTCAAGGAAATTTTAAGGAATTTGTGAAGGAAAAAAATCGTTTTACCACATTTTTTCCTCACTGTTTTAAGAAAGGGTCAGTTTAAATAAATTGCCTGCTGTTACTAACTCTTGGAGAACGTAATTCTCTTAGAGAAATGGGTAACTACTGTTTGCCCTCAGTAAGTGTTCTGCTGTGCCTGTTTTGTAAGGGTGACAGTTTGAATCCTCTGTGGTTCAGTGAGGAGCACAGATGATCAGTAAACAGTGGCCTTTGGACACCACTTAAATGTGTACGAGTGATAACAGATAACATGTCTGAATTATATTGCCTGTATTGTACCAGTTTATGATCAACACAGAGGATTTTGTTATACATAGGAACAAATATTACATGTACTTTGTGTCAGTAGAAATAATGAACCTCTGTTGTGCATGCTCTATTTTTATATGTGAAATATGTTCAGTTTTTCAGAACGCTCCAGGCTTATTTTTCGGGCAGGGGTCTTGATCTCAGAAAGTTCCCAGCTACTTTCACTATGAACAATGAAGGACCAAGGCCTGTTGTATTCTACTCAGATCCTATTGCTTCTGCATTTGCAGATTATGAAGAAAGGAGAAATTCTTTTCCAAATTATTTCAAAGGCTGAAAGATGCTGCTGAGCAAGGTAAAAGAGGTTGTCTTTTGCTCTGACATTGTAACATGTAACCAAGTGAAAGATTTAGATTCCAGTGATTCTCTTTTTTGTCTGAAGTATAAAAACAAGTTCTTTTTTAGAGGAAATTAAAAATGTAGCACTGTAACTCTTGCCTGAATTTGGTTTAAAATTGTTGAGGTAGAGATTCATGAGGTATTTACTACTTAGGTAAAATAACACATCGTGCTGTGCTGACCCATATAGACTATGCTTTTTTAAAAAAAAGTGGGTCAAGCTTGCGTTATGAATAAATTCAGCCTCAACTGAAAGCAGGTATTTCTCAGGTTTTTTATCTGTGCGTAATCACGCTCTGTAAAACAATGGTTGAGGTTGGAAGGGAGCTTAAAGTTCATCCAGTTCCAACCTCCCTGCTATGAGCAGGGACACCTCACACCAGACCAGGCTGCACAAGCCTCATCCAATCTCGCCTAAAACACCTTCCGGGAAGGGGCACCAACAACCTCCCTAGGCAACCTGTTCTGGCACTTTCTACCCGCAGAAGAATTTATTCCTGATGTCTAACCTAAATCTCCCCTCTTTCAGTTGAAAACCATTACTCCTGTCACTGCCCTCTCTGGTGAAAAGCCCCTCCCCAGCTTTCCTATAGTCCCTTCAGGTACTGGAAGGCCACTATAAGGTCTCCCTGGAGCCTTCTCTTCTCCAGGCTGAACAGCCCCAACTCTCCCAGCCTGTTGGTGTAGCAGGCTGAGATGAATTAATGCTTTCATACCTCATTTTGAGAGTCAGTGAATACTGGCAGTTCTGAGGAAAGGTAAATAATTGTTTTCGCCTATCTTACAAGAAGTTTTCAGTCAGATTTGTATCTAAGCATTTTAGTGATTTACCCAGTATCTTAGATTAATTTGTAATTAATATTCAGCCTTTAGCTGAATAGTACCTTTAGCTCTGTCTGCTCTCTGCCTGCTTAAGCTCGTATTTTTCTGTAATCAAAAGCACAGCTCCACTATTCTTATTCTCAATAATGATGAAAACTGCACTCAGATTTAATAAGTTCTCTTTTTGCTAAGTTGGAGTGTCAGGAAAAAAACCCCTGCATCACACTGTGTATTGTGCATGAAAATACATTAAATGTGACTTCTGAAGGGATGCTGTAGCTCTGCTCTGAGCTACAGCAGCAGTGAGAAAATGACTGGTGGAGGTATTTTGTCCTACATAATTCAGAATGATCACAAGAGTTCTCTTCAGTGTTCAGAGATGCTTTCTGAAAGCAGAGGTCTGCTGAGGTCTTTCAGGCAGTGTTAGCAAGTCTCTGGATCATACTCTGCTTGCATATAAATATTTCTGTATGTGTCTCACATAGTTGTTTGGTTTTTTTCCCCTCTTTTTCAGGCATTAACTTTTGGACGTGTGAAGTGGCAGCCTTCACAGCACAATGTTACTTATTTGACTTTTTAACTGTTACTGACAATTTAGAATTTTCGTCACTGCTGCAGTTCTCACTCGGTGTCTGTTCTCAGTCGGTGTCTGCGGCCGCGCCGGGATGAGCACAGCTGTTGTCTGACAAGCGTGTGGTGTTGGGTGCTGCAGTTTGCCCAGCAGATTTGTGTTTGCTTCAATGTGAATAAATAAGGAGTGCAACAGAGTGTTTGTAACTATTGCTAAGTGTGTTTGTTTGAAATGGGTGAATGGATGTTCCCTTCTGATGTAGCGGGGCTGGACATGGTGAGCTGTTTGCCAGTCATTTCTTCAGAGATGGTCTTGGCTCAGAAGGCTCCTGGGGGCGGAAGCAGCTGAGACCCCTGTCCTGGCAGGGCGGCCTCGCCCTCCCCTCCTGCCCCTTCGCCCCGCGCAGCAGCCACTCTGCGGGATGGGGTGTGAAGCTGGGAAACCCTTCTCGTGTGCGAATAACACCAGTTCCTGCTGTTTCTTGGTGCCGTCTCCAGCTACCTCCAAGGAGGCCGTAGCCAGGTGTGTGTTTTCCCAAGGTACAAGTGATGGGGCAAGAGGAAATGGCCTCAGGTTGTGCCAGGAGCGGTTTATAATGGACAAATGTGTTCCCAGAAAGGGCTGTCCAGCCCTGAACAGCCCCGGGGAGGCAGTGGGGGTTGGGAAGACCTGTGGCTGTGCGGGGCGCGGCGGGGCCGGGCGGCGCGGGGCTGGGGCTCTGATGGCTGGGGGCACTGATGGCACTGGGCTTGAACAGCCCCGGGGAGGCAGTGGGGGTTGGGAAGACCTGTGGCTGTGCGGGGCGCGGCGGGGCCGGGCGGCGCGGGGCTGGGGCTCTGATGGCTGGGGGCACTGATGGCACTGGGCTCTGATGGCTGGGGCACTGATGGCTCGGGGGACTGATGGCTGGGGCCCCTAAGGAAGAGGGCAACCGCTGGCC